CTTGTCTAAGAGCTGTAGCTGCAGCCGCCCTGCTAGTAGCTGAAGCCGATAAACTCACTCTGGGTCAAGAACTTTATGTACGAGTTCCACATGCAGTACAGACGTTGTTGGATTACAAAAGAAATCATTGGTTTAGTAACAGCCGTATGACCAAGTATCAAGCAATGTTGTGTGAAAACCCAAGAGTGCATTTAGAGACTGTAAATACCTTAAATCCAGCTACCCTTTTGCCACAACCTACCGAAAGTCAACATGATTGTTTGGAAGTAATGGATGAAGTATTTTCAAGTAGACCAGATCTTCGTGATTTTCCCATCCAGAACCCTGATGTTCAATATTACACCGACGGCAGTAGTTATGTAAAAGAAGGGATCCGCTATGCAGGATATGCAGTAACAACGATAGACAAGGTGATAGAAGCTCGGCCACTGGCAAAAGGAACATCAGCACAAAAGGCAGAATTGATAGCACTGACACGAGCGTTACAGTTGGCTGAAGGTTTAAGATTGAACATCTACACGGACTCCAAGTATGCGTTTTTAACCACTCATGCCCATGGAGCTTTGTATAAAGAAAGAGGATTATTGAATTCAGAAGGTAAAGAAATCAAATACGCAGCTGAGATCCTACAACTATTGGAAGCAGTGTGGGAGCCGAAAGAAGTCGGTATTATACATTGTCGGGCGCATCTGAGAGGAGATGGTGATGTAAACAAAGGGAATCGGATGGCAGATAGTGCAGCTAAGCGTGCTGCTGAATCAGGAAGACAGGAATATGTGGGGCATATAGCTGCTCTTATACCAACTCCACTGTCTCAATGGACTCCACTTTATACAGCTCAAGAAGAGGAGTGGTTAAGGACTGAACCTGGAAAGTATTTGGAGAACAAATGGTATCAGTTAGAAGATGGAAGAATAGTTATTCCAGCATCACTAGCGGTAGAAATTGTCCAAAACTATCATAACGGGACACATTCTGGGAGAGACAGTACAGAAGAATCTCTCAGAAAACATTTCTACATACCAAGATTGTCCAACTTGACTCAGGCCATTGTACGTAGATGTGTAACGTGTGCTAAAAATAAAAGACAAGGACCAGTAAAGCCACCAGGAGTCCAGTTTATGGGGGGACTTCCCATGTCCGATTTACAAATTGACTATACAGTGATGCCTAAATCGGGTGGACATCGCTACCTGCTGGTAGTGGTGTGCACCTATTCAGGCTGGGTAGAAGCATGTCCTACTCGTACAGAGAAAGCAGGAGAAGTCGTGAGATTCCTGCTACGAGAAATAATACCCCGATATGGACTACCCTGCTCTATAGGATCGGACAATGGTCCAGCTTTTGTTCATCAGTGCCTACAACAATTGACTCATATGCTTGGTATAAAGTGGAGGCTTCATACGGCATATAGACCCCAGAGTTCTGGTAAGGTAGAGAGAATGAATAGAACTATTAAGAATCAGTTGGCTAAAATGTGTCAGGAAACCCAACTTAAGTGGAACGTTCTCTTGCCCATAGCTCTATTGCGAATCCGTAGTACACCTACCAGAAGGATGGGCCTCTCTCCTTTTGAAATCATGTACGGGCGACCACCTCCCGTGCTTGGTAACTTAAGAGGGGATTTGAGTCAGTTGGGAGAAGGAATTACCCGGCAGCAGGTTGTAGAGTTGGGTAAGACTATGGAGGAGGTACAGAAATGGGTACAAGATAGATTACCTGTGAATATTTATCCCCAATTCATAGTTACCACCCAGGCGACCAAGTGTGGATTAAAGAGTGGAATAATGTGCCGTTAGGGCCCAAGTGGAGAGGTCCTTATGTTGTTCTTCTGTCTACCCCTACAGCGATAAAAGTAGCCGAAGTGGCTCCGTGGATACATCACTCCAGGGTTAAACCAGCAGCAGCCGATTCCTGGCAAGTTACAGTAAATCCAGAGAATCCCTGCAAGATCCGGTTAAAACGCACGACTCAGTCGGAGTGACGAGGAACCTTGTAGATTACAAATTTTATTGTTTCAGAGACTTGGTAAGTGAGTGAGAAGGCCATAATAAAGCCTGTCCACTCACCAACGAGTGTATAAGTCAGGGAAAGTCTTGAGGGGACCCCTGTGAAGACGAGCAGAACTCCATTCCCTGCAGTCCTTACATCCTGGAAGCTGAGGTGCCTTCACACGGACGAAGACTGAGGATGACGACGAAAGATGTATTTTAATAATGTTTATTTATGTGTATTTTTATATTCAGGAAGGTAGAGGTACCAACACTCCTAGCTGTGAGGTATGCATTAAGACTACAAGAACAGGTAACCATATATCCCAGACCCTAATTTGGCATTCGCAATATGAGTGTAAAGGAGATGTATCAAGATGTAGATACTTAAATATAGAATATAGTGTGTGTCATTTAGGAGTAGGAGAACCTAAGTGCTTCAGTCCTGAGTATCAACCCCGTACAATTTGGTTGACTCTCAGAAATGGAGATCCTCAGGGGACCCTAATTAATAAGACGGTATTAAAATCCGTATATTCTTCAGGTGCTCTGCTATTTGATGCGTGTAAAGCAATATCAAGTGGTAGAAAGCCGTGGAATGTATGTGGGGATCTTAGATGGGAGAGGACGTATGGGTCTAACGATAAATATATTTGTCCCAGTAGTAAAAATAAATATGTAAGTCCAAGATGCCCAAATAGAGATTATAACTTCTGCCCATATTGGTCTTGTGTGGGGTGGGCGACTTGGGGACAGACAGCAGACAAGGACATGATTGTGACTAAGTTGCCTACTAATCCATATTGTAAGTCTATGGAATGCAATCCAATCCATATACTTATAAATAACCCTGACAAGTTCTTAGATAAATATGGTAATTTATTTGGGTTTCAAATATATGGGACGGGTTTAGACCCTGGGACAATATTGTTTATAGGGATAGAGACTGATACGGTAACCTCCCAAACTCATCAAGTATACCATTCCTTTTATGAAGAGATGAGCATAGATAATAAGATCCCCCATAATGCTAAAAACTTGTTCATTGATTTAGCCGAGAGTATTGCCGGTAGTCTTAATGTTACCAACTGCTATGTGTGTGGAGGTACTAACATGGGAGACCAATGGCCTTGGGAAGCAAAGGAGGTAATGTCCGGTTCTGAGGCAGTTGACCAATTAATATCTACACAAGCCGACTATCATATGAGTGTTAGAGGTAAATCTGAGTGGAGATTGAAGACCTCCATCATAGGTTATGTTTGCATAGCGAGGAAAGGAATGATGTATAATACTTCTGTAGGAGAATTAACTTGTCTAGGGCAAAAAGCTTATGATGATGATACAAAGAATACAACTTGGTGGTCGGCTTCAAATGTCTCAGAACCATCTAACCCGTTTGCAAGATATGCCAATTTAAAGGACGTATGGTTTGATCTATCCATCACATCTAACTGGAGAGCCCCAGCGAATTTGTACTGGATCTGTGGTAAGAAGGCCTATTCGGAGTTACCACAGGACTGGGAAGGGGCATGTGTGTTGGGTATGTTAAAACCATCCTTCTTCTTGTTGCCTATTGAAACAGGTGAGACTTTAGGTGTTAAAGTGTATGATGTGAATCATAGGAAGAAAAGGGGACCCATAGAGATAGGTGCCTGGGAAGATAATGAATGGCCTCCCCAGCGTATTATAGATTATTATGGGCCAGCCACGTGGGCAGAGGATGGTACCTTTGGTTATAGAACCCCTATTTATATGCTCAACCGCATTATAAGGTTACAGGCGGTGGTTGAGATCATTACTAACGAGACATCACAAGCGCTCAATCTTCTAGCGAAGCATAATACCAGGATGAGGACAGCAGTTTACCAAAATAGATTAGCCTTGGATTATCTTTTGGCAGTAGAGGGAGGTGTATGTGGGAAGTTTAACCTGAGCAATTGCTGTCTTCAAATAGATGACGAAGGGCAAGCAATAGCTGAGCTTACTAGCCATATGGTTAAACTAGCGCATGTGCCTATTCAGGTATGGAAAGGGTACAATCCAAGTAGTTGGTTTGGTAGCTGGTATGAGTGGTTTGGAGGGCTTAAGGCAGTGGTAGGTGGAGTCCTACTGATTTTAATGTTGTGTCTACTCCTGCCGTGTCTTATACCCTTAGTAGTTAGGTCTGTGTAAAGCCTGATAGAAAATATAGCAGAGAGGAAGGCTGCTGCACAGATAATGGCAATTTATAAATATAAGGCTCTAGATCAGGGAGAACCAATGCAGGAAGACGAGTGTTGAAGATTCACATCGTAGGATAAGTCTGGTCTGGTTCAAAGGTAACTTGTGGTGTATGCAAACCAAGGTTAAGTGATGCCTCAAGTAATTGTAAAATATCAAGAGGCATCAAAGGGGGGAATGTGGTGGAATCTCGGTAAAAATAAATTTAGTAGGCCGAGATTACCACGTGGCATGTGTACGTGCATATGCTGACGTATCGATCAGTTGGTTGCACGAGGCAAGATACGATCAGTAGTGTACGGAGCATGTGCAAGAATACAGGATGTAGTATTCCCCTCCTCCATTGTGCTGGACAAGCCATGCGGTCAAGCAGGAAGTTAATTCTTATTTGTAATGATTGGTCAAGAGAATGTGCGGGTGGAGTTTAATATGGGAGGAGTTATGTGCCTATATAGGGAGCCTGCACTATTGTTCAGGGCTCAGAACTTGCTGTATTTTTGGTGACATTAGTCCCTCTGAGTCCCGATCGGTGATCCAATAAAGAATCTCTTCCTTCCTGAAGAAAACTGTGTCCATCCCTCTGTGCTTTGCTTCCGTCAGTTTCTCCGGTATCAAATCCATATCTGCCAAGTGACCCGATGTTGGGGTAACATTCCCTATTCTGCTCTGTGTCCGTGTGCATCAGGGGCTCTGAGGACAGGTGTCAATCCATATGTCAAGGTGTCAATATGTCATATGTCAGGTGTCAATCCATATTGATTGTGATTTAGGAATGTTAGGTGATTTCTGCCCTTTATGGATTAAAACCAGACTCTGTATCAACTGTGTAATTTTCCATGGGAGTTTTGCTATGGATCCCCCTCCGGCATGCCACAGTCCAGGTGTTAGTCCCCTTGAAACAACTTTTCCATCCCTATTGTGGCCAGAAAGAGTCCCTGTGTGTTTTAAAATTCGCCGGTTCGCGAACATTTGCGGAAGTTCGCGTTCGCCGTTCGCGAACCGAAAATTTCGGGTTCGCGACATCACTACTCAGGGATACTTCAGAACTATACACAACTACCTGGAATTCATGGTTTGACTATATATCACACAGGCTGACTAAGGAGCAGTGACAAAAATACACACAAATTAGTTTCTGTATCCTACACTGACAATAGTGACTTGGTGACAGAACCCCTCAGACGGAGGAAGGTACATGAGGAACCTCATGAAGTGGCCAAAACATGCAATAGGATTGCAGAGGACACCTGTATAGAACCGACAAACACATATAAATCCTAGCTCACGGTGCTAAATTAGCAACTGTATATCTCTATAAGGACATTCTGCGATGGGGCGGTGGGAACTGCAAAAATAAAAACATTAAGGAATCCAGCTTCCAGGCCTCAGTTTCCTCTCCCTCCTCTCCCCCACCCCTTTCCATTCTATGACACACACACAGAGATACACACACACACACACACACACAGACATACAGACACAGACAGACACACATACAGATACACATACATACAGACACAGAGACACTCACACATACAGACACATACATAGACACACACAGACAGACACATACATACAGAGACACATACAGACACACATCCATATACACAGAGACACACACATACATACAGACACACATACACATAGATACATACATAGACACACACACACACACACATACATAGACACATACATACAGAGACACACATACACACACGCAGATAAATACAGACACATACATAGACACACACACATACATACAGACACACATACATAGACACACACAAACACACATACAGACACATACACAGACATACACACACACACAGATACATTCAGACACATACATAGACACATACACACACACATAACTAACACACATACATGCAAAATATTTTAGTCACCCTCCTATTACCTATCTTTTAAGTGCAGGAGGGTGACTTCCCTGGGATCCAGTGGTTCAGGTTGATGGGAGTCAGAGTTCCCACTCTGCTCCCTCTGTTTCCTCCCACGCGGGCTCTTGGTGGTTGCTGGGAGGAGTGACCGCGGCAGTCACTTCCTCCCAGCATCTGACATCATCAGAGGGGCCTGGTCGCGCTGCTATCGGGCCCACTCTGATGATGATATTCATTGCCATCGGGTGGCCCTAACAGCATGGGTCACCCGATGGACCCTTTCACCTGCGGCACTGGCAATTATACTGTGCGGCCGGGGTGGCAACAGATGGCGGCGGGCACCCAGTCGCAGGTGTCCACAGGGCGGCCGGACCCCCTGTAGTGACGTGCCGGTCGCAGCTGCGACCCCTGCGACCCCTGCGACTGCGTTATGTACACCGCTGGCCTGGAGCAAGATGATGTATATAAATACACATGCTTTATTTAAGACAATAATGAGTTGCTCATCACTTTTACTATTTATGTTCACAAGAAAAATCAATATGTAATAAGACCAGAATGTATAAGCATTGCGTATAATTTTTAAAAATCCATAATGCAGAATGTTTACAAGAAAAAAAACCAACAAAAAAAACAGTAACTGGCACTGTCTATGGTAACCATAAGAGGAATAAAAGAAAACAAATATTCTAGGAAGGAGACAGAATCAATTGGTCAATAGAGAAAGCACAGGACATGATAAATCCACTTACCTCGGAGAGTGGTTCCCAAACCTGTTCTTATGGCCTACCAACAATCCAGGATTTATGTATTTCCATTTTTTATTCCAATGGATAAACTGACAAAATCTGGACTGTTGGTGGGTCATGACCAATGGTTTTGGAAAGACTGACCTAGAGGACGTGCCTTGATCCAACAAATATTGCTGTTTAAATCAGTAGTTTCCAAACTAGTCTTGAAGACACAACAGTCCAGGATTTCCGCATTTCCAAAGTCTGTTTAATGGAGATGCACACAAAACCTGGACCGTTGGTGGATCTTCAGAAATGGAAACCTCTACTTTAATTGATACTGCACTAATAATTATCAATTAGAATTACGGGATCATATGTTTTATGAGTAAAAAAATCAGTCTAAAGCTGGAGGTAACTACCAGACTGCTTTGCTATATAGGAATAAGCTTAGTAAATAGGATTATTTAAGTCTTCTTGAATTTAAAGATAACCCTTAAAACTGTGCACACACAATTTTTTTTTACCAACATATTCTAGCAATACCTGATATTTATAAATCACCTTTTAACAAACAAACAAACAAACATTTATGCTGTTTGCTTGATATGATACTTCTGTTTGTCTCAACTAGTTGAGCTAAGGAAATGACAGTGCGTATTAAAAAACCAACTTCCTGTAAAGCCTTGAAGAAGTAGGTAGAGAAAAAACTATCACAGTGAAAGCTTCCTAGCATGGTAAAGAGTTAGCATTCAGTCATAGAGGAAGCTGTCGCAGGGTTGATAAAAATTAAAACGTACGTGGATGGTCTTTTTAATTTTTTTAAATACTTTTAGTAATTAGGCATTGCAAACTTTCCCCATCTGAGCTGGTTTGTGTTTATTGTAGGGACAAACGTTCAGAAGGACCCTTGTCACAATGATTCCGTATCTGCACCTGCTGGTGATAGGAGCTCTACTTTGGAACCAAAACAGTATTGTTGCAGGTAAGAGCAATCTTGGTGAATATTTATTGTAGTAACTGTTAATACTTTGATATCTTGGAAATCGATGAAAATACATTTTAAAACGTCTGCCATTAGAGTGCTGTGTTGAAAAAGACACTGGAGGCATTATGGAATAGTTTATGAATGACTATACTAAACAAGTCTACTTAAAGAAATAGTGCATAATATCCAAAAATCCTTAGCTACTATAGTTCTTCTTTTACAACACTTGTCAGTTATAGAATTCCAGGCACACCTTTCAGCTGGGTACGCACATCTCTTCGGGAGCCCATGAAACAATGCAAAGCTTAGCTGTGGCAAAATAAATTTATAAAATCGCTAAATACTGTATCTGGCAAAAAAAAGTTAAAATTATCACAAGGATAAGCTGTTTATGGTGAAATACATTAATAAATGCATTGCTCCTGACATGAGTATATGATAAATAGGTTGAATATCACTCATATTTAAAATCATAGCGTTTTATTTTAGATTAAATTAAAAAGTGCAGGAGTTAAAAACGTTTTGCAAAAAAAGTGGACACATTTAGTACTGTTCGGTGCAGGTGTCTCAAGATTACGGTAACATCTGGCTTGAATGAGGATTCTGCATCGCGTTCACATGTCATAGGATACAAGGCTGATAAAGTTTTGCTCTTGAGGTTATCATGCTGCCATCGAGACAATGCTAATTTGTAATAAAATGTTTTCTGATCACTCCTCATCCGTACCGAAATATATACTATGATATCTGACTTTTTGGGGGCAGAAATGTAGTCCCACAAAAAAGTTGATGTGTGAAAAAGCCTACCATCAGAAATGATTAATGTAACAAATACTGAGGAAAGGGGAAAAAAAAATCTCACAATGCATATATAGTTTATCACAAGGAATAAATATATATGGGTCATTGAGATAATACATTTGGCAGCTTAGATTTTGCCGCCATGATTATTCTAAGGTCAATCTATTCCTCCCTTTCTTCTTTGTACGGTACGGTGTCTTCAATGATGTCACTGAAAATTGCAGATTGCTTAATGGTGATCAAATTTATTTTGATCCATTGTATTCACTTATGCTGAACACCCACCTCCCCCCCACCTCCGCCCCTCAAAAAAATCTGAACTCGTCGTGCCCTACAGTATAATATAAAGAGCGCAATATTGCAGTAATTAAGAAATATCTTGCCTAATTGCCGGTTAAATCCACTGTACGCTGTCTGCAGTATATATC